CAGAAAACAAGCAATGTGCCATCTGTTATGTAGTGACATGCTCAAATTCCTCAGGAAACCTTGGCAATGGATGAAAGAAACTGGGCTTGGTCCCCTTAGCACAATGAAATCATAAAAGTGACGCCGTCCTGCAGTGGGAAAAGCATGGAGATTGCAACATTTTCGGCAGTTGCCCCGGATGGAGCGCCCTAAAGCAAAGGAAAAACTTGAAAACAGCAAAGAAACCCATTGAAAGGATGGAAACTGCAACTTTTTCAGCAGTTTGGCAGAAGCCGCCCAAAGCAAAGGAAAACCTTGAAAATTGCAGAGGAAATAAGCCATGTGCCATCTGTTTGTATGTAGTGACATGCACAATTTCCGCAGGAAACCTGAGGAATAGACGAAAGAAACTTGGCTTGGTCCCCTTAGCGCAATGAAATCATTAAAGTAAAGCTGTCCTGCAGTGGAAAAGCATGGGAGCTGCAACTTTATCAGCAGTTGTCCCGGATGGAGCACCCCAAAGCACAGGAAAAACTTGAAAACGGCAAAGAAACTTAGCTAATTTGGAGGGTAATGCTCTATGGGCCATTTTGGAAGCAGGACGGTATGCCAAATGATAGGTACGGGACGGTTGGTACGGGTTTGGGTGCGGGTACGGGTGCGGGTACGGTACAGGTACGGTACGGGTACGGTACGGGCACGATACATGGGAACGGTCGGTACGGTACATGGGCACGAAAACCGTACCCATGTACCGTACCCATGTACTGTACCGACCGTACCACCCAAATAGCGGCAGAAATAGTGGCAGATCTGCTGCTATTTCTGCCGCTATTTGGGTACATGGTGCGGATTTCACTATTTGGGTACATGGTGCGGGTACGGTCGGTACGGTACATGGGTACGAAAACCGTACCCATGTACCGTACCGACCGTACCCATGTATCGTACCCATACCGTACCCGTACCGTACCTGTACCGTACCTGCACCCGTACCCGCACCCAAACCCGTACCAACCGTCCCATACCCATCTAAACTCCTCAGCAAGAACCCCCTCCGCACCATACGTCATGAACCCAATAGAAAACATGCTTTTCGTTGCTCTTGAAATTAGCTAAAAAGATACCCATTGAAAGCATGGAAATTGCAACTTTTTCAGCAGTTGGGCAGAAGCCGCCCAAAGCAAAGGAAAACCTTGAAAATTGCAGAGGAAATAAGCCATGTGCCATCTGTTTGTATGCAGTGACATGCTCAAATTCCGCAGGAAACCTTGGCAATGGACGAAAGAAACTGGGTTTGGGCGCAATGAAATCATAAAAGTGATGCTTTGCTGCAGTGGGAAAAGCATGGAAATTGCAACTTTTTCAGCAGTTGGGCAGAAGCCGCCCAAAGCAAAGGAAAAAATTTAAAATTGCAGAGAAAATAAGCCATGTGCCATCTGTTTGTATTCAGTGACATGCTCAAATTCCGCAGGAAACCTTGGCAATGGACGAATGAAACTGGGCTTGGTCCCCTTAGCACAATGAAATCATAAAAGTCAGGCTGTCCTGCAGTGGGAAAAGCATGGAAATTGCAACTTTTTCAGCAGTTGTCGCGGATGGAGTGCCCTAAAGCAAACGAAAAACTAGAAAACGGCAAAGAAACCCATTGAAAGGATTTGGCAGAAGCCGCCCAAAGCAAAGGAAAACCTTGAAAATTGCAGAGGAAATAAGCCATGTGCCATCTGTTTGTATGTAGTGACATGCACAAATTCCGCAGGAAACCTTGGCAATGGACGAAAGAAACTGGGCTTGGTCCCCTTAGAGCAATGAGATCATTAAAGTGAATTTGTCCTGCAGTGGGAAAGGCATGGAAGCTGCAACTTTATCAGCAGTTGTCCCGGATCGAGCGCCCTAAAGCAAAGGAAAAAAAACTAGAAAACGGCCAAAAAACCGCTTTGAAAGGATGGAAGCTGCAACTTTTTCGTGTGACCCTTTATCCATCGAAAATTGCATTCAGGCATGCCATCTGTTTGAGTGCAACAACTGGTGAGGTATCAACAGGTGGGTTATTTGCATTTCTGATGGCATATTGACGTCTTTTAAAGTCTATGCCATCTGTTTGTAACTTTATACATTCTATCTGGCATCTTCTCTGCGATACTATCCGACATCTTTTCTGACAATCTCTATCACATTTTACCTGGCATCCTATCTGACATTCCATGTGACACATATTCTGCCATTTGATCTGGCATTCCTATCTGACATATTTTGTGGCAGCCTATCTGGCAATCTATCTTACATGACATTTTACCTGACACATATTGTGACATTCGATATCTGGTATTCTATCTGACTTTCTGATATTAAACCTGACATATTTTCTGATATCCTATCTGGCATCCCATCTGGCATTCTATCTGGCATTTCTACCTGGCGTATTTCCAACATTCTATCCGACATTCTATCGGACATGGCATCTGACATACACAATTTCTGACATTCTTTCTATCTGGCATTCCACCTACCTGACATCTTTTCTGACGCGCCATAGGGTTCGGGTCTGGCAAGCCTCAGAAAGCTGGCAAGCTCGCCATGGCGTGTGTGTATCAACAGTGTGTGTGCGTGTGCCAAAATCTAGAGACTGGCAGGTGGAAAAGAAAAATAATGAAAGAAGTCTGTTCCAAACAGAAATTCACAAAATGAAGAACCCGCTGAAGAGCTGAGAAGGTACTGCACTCCAGCGCAAGAATCACGTTGCGCCTGGGCCATTGGGCCAAGGACTGCGGGTAGCTTGTGCAGCCAACAATTTGTTTTTGCCAGGCGTTCCCTTCAAATACAAAATATTCTGCCTACATTCCTTTGAAAACAATGTGGGAACTAAACACCAACGGATTGTAGTGGCCATTGTTGATGCTGAGTTTGGCTTGTCCTGCATTGCGCTGGTCATGCAACGATGCTGAGTTGTAGCCATTTGACAGGTCCCCCCGCTAGCCCACATCTGCTTAGCACACATGATTGTTAATTCGCGGCAGGAATGAAGTTGGCTGCTAATGGTGCCCTCTGTCATGTCCAAAATTTTTCCATCAACTCGGAGAACCAAGAAACATGTGTTTCCAAATGCTTCCGGCCTAAAAAATGATGATGGATTCTTGGGGCCTTGCATTCCCAAGATTCACAAGGGTCACAGTTGGTGTCTATCCTAACATGATAAACCTTATCTGATTACCCCCAAAGACCGACAGTCATCCTTTGCTACTAAGAATGGTTTCCCCTTCAGGGTGAACATCAATCCTGGATCAACATCAACCGCATCCCAAAAAAGAATGCAAATTGAATATCCCCCAAAACCATTGGTTTGTCATCGCGTTTCCTTTTGAATTGGCCACTTTGGGGCTTACCTCTGGAAAAAAATCATATGACCAGAAAGCCCAATTTTTTGATGGTTCAGTCCCATGCTTGGTCAAAACCCAAGCTTTTTGTAGACTCCCAAGGTTCAATGCTACATCGACGACGCCACCGAAGATCGACAAGTGAGTGGTTTCGCACTCCAGGATCCCCGGTATCTGGAGGGAGGTGGAATTGCGTCCGTGCCATCATCACCCGCGTGGGACTATGTAAAGATATCTGCTGTTTACATGTATGCATGCGCGCGTGCATACACTTGTATGTATGCATGTATATATGTATGTGTAATATATTTGCATTCCAGCAGTATATAAAACATAGTTTTCATCCAGCATGTGTATACTTTAGAACGTATGTAATGTACAGTACGTGTACAAATAAACATGAACAGGCAACCTATACATACGGGTAGATATTTGTAAACTGCCAATCTATCATACATCAATCAAATGGTATCATATCGCACATCTCGAAAATCAAAACAAAATATGTGTGTCCAAAAACCATAAGCTGCATAGGTATATGTGTGTAATTCAATACCTATGCTTATATAAAGAGAAAATATAAGGTATATGTGTGTAATTAAATACCTATGCTTATATATATATACATATACATATACATATACATCTTTGTGTATAAAAGTAATTGTGAGTTTGGTGCCGCCAAACTGATCCATTCACAACTTTGCCAGGTTGGACCACACCATTTGCTGCACAACAACACCAATGGCCTTCCTCCGCGGCCTATCTTGGCTTTTACGTGGTTTGGCAACTCTGGAATATCCAGAGAGGCCTCTTTTGAGCCTAGCAATAGAAGCTGCGCATGACAAAACAGATAGCACTCCTGCTTTGCATTTCGTGTTTGCACTTTGAGCGGCATAACACACAATAAGATATCAATCCATATCTTCGCATTGGTAGCGGAGCCGGCAAAGATCCGGCTCCAGCCCGCGCTGCCATGTCATCTTCACCTTCGAGAAGACCTGCTGGCGGCGGTGCTGGATCATCTCCTACCTCACCGACCGAATCGTCTCCGGACTCCTTCGTGCCGAGGTTTGACAACACCATCAGCGGCTACAAGGAGTGGCGGAAAAGGGTTCAACTGTATGCCCGTAGGCTTGAGCTGCAAGGTCGTTCAAAAGAAGTTGCCATGAATGTGTTGGCAGTGCTTGAGGGTTCGGTTCTAGCTGGACGCAATGTGAAGACATAGACCTCAAAGACCTTGAAGCTGAAAATGGCCTAGATGTGTTGCTACGACGGTTGGATTCGAAATGGAAGTATGATGAGAGGGTTGAGCTGGGTTCCATATTTGACACCTTCTTCTTCAAGGTTCAGCGAAAGCCCAACCAATCTCTTTTGGACTATGTGACTGATTTTCACCAAGCCCTACGTGATGTTCAGAGACTGAAGGTTGATCTTCGTGTGGAAATCACTGGATGGCTCATGTTGCGCAGAGCTGCCTTGACCAAGGATCAACAACACCTTGTGCAGTCCCAGGTTGGCAAAACGTTGACACTGGGAAACGCATCTCCTTCAAGAAGTGCAACAAATCATTTCGTTTTGGCGGCGATGCTGATGGACATGCCCGCTGGATGGTTGAGTTGCCCGTGCACTTCGCCAACATTTCAGGCCGAATGCAGTGCTTCATCGTGTTCGGAGCCACCCCAATGCTGCTTGGACGCCGTGTTTTGGAGCAACTTGGCGCTGTGGTGGACTTCGGAAGTGGCAAGATGCGCATCCTTGGTGGCCATTGGACTGCGATCGAACGTGGCAAGCAAGATGCGATGCTTCTGAGACTTGCTGCAACCTTCAACTCTATTGAGGACTTTGAGAACCCGCAGTTCGACCTCAGAGCCAAGGATGATGACCACGATGATGCATGCTCTCTGCAAGACTTTTTGCAAGACCTACGTGCTGCTGAGCGCTACGAGGAAATGATCTCCGAGGTCCAATTCACCGACGACGCCTCTGAGAATGAGTTCGTTGATGTTGAGACCTATGTGAATGTGGATGAGCAGATCCCTGAGGAGCACTTTCACGCCCATGAGCTGACCGAGCGCACTCAATGCTCAATGTCGAAGACCTGGTCATGGATTCAGGGTCAACTGGTTGAAACCTCCAAGAAAGCTGCCCAACTTGCCTATGAAGCTCGATGCCAACCTCACCCACGAAAGAAGCTCATTTGGGAAGTCTACAGTGGCACTGGACTTTTGGGCGAACAAGCTGAACGCCTTGGTGCCGAAGTTATGCGTTTTGGCCTCAACAACGGATAGGACTTCTCCAAATTGGCTCATCGAAAACGTCTGATGGAATTGGCCTATGAGCTTGAGCCAGATGAGATCTACATGTCTCCCAAGTGCACTTTGTGGTCTCCAATGCAGGCCATCAACATGCGCTGTGAGGCCGATTGGGATGAACTTTGGGAGCGACGTGACTTTGACCATGAGATCCATCTGAAGTTTTGCAAGAAACTTTTCTGGTTTCAGGTAAAACGTGGAGCTCATGCACACATCTAACATCCACATCGCAGTGCTGCCTGGGACACTCCAGCCTTCTCCAAGTTGCCAGGTGAACGCACGACCTTTGATCAATGTGAATATGGTTCCACTACCACAGTTGATGATGCTGAAGTACCAATCATGAAAACCACCTCCATTCAGACCACGAAACGTGCGATGCGTCACATCATGTCCAAACGATGCTCAGGCAACCATCAACATGCCCGACTTGAAGGTGGAAGCCGCTGCAAGAAGGCTGAGAATTACCAATCTGAGCTAGCCTGGAATTTAGCTCGAGCCCTTCTTGGGGATGAGGGTTTGTCAGAGCAGGCTTACGCTGTTCAACAAGACGCCGAAGCTCAAGAGCTGACTGGAGTTCTTCGAAAACGAAAATTTGGCACAAAGCATGGCTCTGAAGCGGTGCGTATTGCCTACCGTCTCCATCGAAATCTTGGGCATCCCAGAAAGGACACTTTGGTCCGCATGCTGCAGGCCAAGAACGCTGACCCGAAGGTCATTGCTGCAGCCGAAGCCCTTGAATGCCCTTACTGCAACAAGTTTTCTTCCTGGAAACAATCAGCTCCAGCTCATGCAGAGCGTCCCATGGACTTCAACGAGCAGCTTCAGGCCGACACCCTGTGGTTTGGCTTGAGCTCAGTTGAGCCTGACAATGCCCCTTCTGACAAAGCCTCAAAGCGGAAGATTGGCATGCTGGTCATGGTTGATTCTGCAACTCGCTTCATGGCTGTGCGAACCATTCCTGATGAATCAAGCAGTTCTCTCATGAAAGCTGAGGAGCGTGAATGGATTCGCTACTTTGGCCCTCCGAAGCAGCTGAGCGTTGATGAATGGTCTGGATGGGGCAGTGACGCCATGATGCAATGGTCTGGCGACCATGACATAGAGATGAAGATTTCCCCTGGGCAAAGTCATTCACGAACTTCAATTGTGGAGCGAAGACATCGACTCCTTCGCAAAGCACTTTCCATCTTCATGACAGAAAATGGACTACGTGGCCTTGATGGACTTCATACGGCCTTGAACTGGACTGTGCTCACATTGAACCAATGCACCTTCCCCAACATGCCTGGACTCATCTCTGACGAGCGCACTGGCCCAATCCCAATTCAACTTCAACAAACTGAACAAGATCGACTACGACGACGACTTGAACTCAAAGCAAGTGCCCAAAATGCATGTGCTGTTGCGGAGATTGACGTCAAACCACGACGTGCTCTACTCCGAGGCTTTTCAGGTGCTGATGAATATCTACGGCCAGGTGAACGATGCCTTTACTGGCGCGAAGTTGGCAATCAATTCCACACGGTTCAGTGGAAAGGTCCTGCAACGGTCGTTGCTGTCCAACGAGACCCAGACACTGGCACCATTGAAACCTACTGGATTGCCCACGGCACTGTGCTCATCCGTGCCGGCCGTCAACATGTTCGACGACTTGTTGGCCAAGATGGTCTTGTCAATGGAGCTCAACGTGCTGAACAAGCCATTTGTGGTCTTCGTCAACGGCGAGTTGTTCGAACTGCCGACTTGCGGCGCATCAACCAGCACACCTTGGAGGAGCTCGAGGGCGAAATATCTGATGGACTTTTTGATGAACAACCTTCTCCGAAGAAGTTCAAGATCAACCATCCTCCTGATCAAGGTGAGCAAGATGCCCCAGCAGCACGACCTGAGTCAGTGCGATCCCTCTCCTATGAGCCAACTGAACCTATCGATGATTTGCCAACAGATCCTGCTGAAGATCCACCTTTACCTGTGGCTGATCCGTCTTCTGGCCTGGACTTGCCAGCGGATCCCGGCCTGGACTTGCCGGATGAGTCAAGAAGCAGCTTCAGCAGCACCTTCCAGCGGAGAGGCAGGTCATGGACTTACGCCTGAACCTCTTCCGCAAGATGTTCCAATCCCTGATGGTGACGACAGTGAAGCTGATCAGCCTGCCATTGCAGCTGACAACACCATCACTCAATCTCAAATGCCTGAAGCACAATCTTCAAATCCACAACTTCCTGGACTTTCTTTTGCTGAACGCCGACGGCAACAAGAACGAAATGAAACTTCTTGGTTGCGATCTCCATTGTGGCCACTGGTGCATGATCACCCTGATCCTCAAAGCCCTGGCAAATCGAAACGTGCCAAGCACCATGAATCGGTCAACATCGCCGTGGAGCTCTTCCCAAATGGCTGTGAAGGCTCAACCAACCTTCCAGCTGGATGGCACTATGACCCGAAAACCCATGAGATCTACCTTGGTTCCACAGCAGATTTTTGGAGCTTCGAAGATGGATTTTTGGTTAGAAACATGTTTGGTCAAGGGATTGCACTTTCCATACAACAGATTTTCCCTTGTCTGCCGAGAAGCTCCAGACCACAAATGGCCTGACAATGAGACGCAACAGCCGCATCATCCTGGTCAACGAGGAGCAGCCTGCCCCCGTGGGTGATGAACCATGGTTTGGAAAGACCTTGTACCCACTGACCAAAGATGCTGCAGCTGAGTTTGGCCAATCCTACGTTGGCGATTTGTCCAAGAAGTTCAAGACCAAAACCATCCTACGCCGTGGCCATATTTGGTCGGCCCAAGCTTCGCCCAAGAAGAAGAACGTCAAGGAGTCAGCTGATCTCAAAGAAAGCCGAATGAGTCTTGAAGACCGCCTGGCGTTCATCGAGGGCGAGAAAGCTGAGTTGGCCTCCATTTTTGAGAATCAAGTTTGGGAGATCGAGCTTCACCCTGAGAAGGTCAATTGGAACCAAAGCACGTTTGGTTCTTCAAGGATTTTCTGATCCAGATCTACTACGAGGAGAGCTTGACACATCTTCCCCAACTTTGAGCCGAAGTTCACGGCAGATTCTCTTGGCCATTGCAACTTGCAAATCCTGGCTTATTTTCATTTCTGATGTGGCGACAGCCTTTCTTCAAGGCGATCCGCAGAAACGAATTTTGTGGGCCAGAATCCCCAAAGATGCTTGCCAGCTGATTGGTGTGCCATCCGGTACACTAATGCGGCTTCTCAAACCCATTTATGGGCAAGCCGATGCTCCGAGAAGATGGTTTCAAGTTGCCCGCAGAAGATTGATTGCTGCAGGGTACCAACTTTGGTGCTCATATAGAGTTATAAGTAGTTATAATTTTAGTCATACAAAAAGTTATGAAAAGTTATGAAGTGAAGCAAATATCAACTATTTTGTCACATTTTTATAATTTAGAAAAATTGAAGAAACATTTGTTTTTATTGTATCGAAAACAATATTGTTTCTAATTACAGCGGTTGAGCCGCTTCGAAGTTGCTTTTTTTGAAAAATGCGCGGTTTTCACCGCTTCCATGGGTAAGTGTTTCGTGAGCGATTAGAAGAACCGCTTCCATGTTGAGTCAGCGGTTGACACCGCTCCCATGCAACTCAGCGGTTGAAACTAGTTATTTACATCATGTAATTTCACTATACACTGATTGAAGCGGTTTAAACCGCTACAAGTGGTAGAATACCATTTGGAGAGGTTGAAATTTGTTTTTTTCATAGCCATGAATTGCCAATGGGATTTGTTTTGCAAATTCACGGGTTTTTGGATATCTTGACGTCGTATTTTTTCTTTAGATGTTTTCAAGTTTCAATCTTTTGAGATTGTTTGTGATTGCAGAGATGGTGAAAGCTGCATATAATAATAGTCTGATGAAATAGTTGAGTTTACAATGCTACAATTTTTGGACGCTGTATTATCTAAGTCATGTTGTCAGGACTGTGAATTCATTGAGATCTGTAAGTCAATGGTTTTGTGAAATCTCATTCTTTCAAAGTAAGTCCCAACCCCAGGACTTACAAAGTTCAAACAGAGTTGAAGTCCAGCAGGCTTCACAAACTAATACCTTGCAAAATTATATGGATTCAATCAGGTTCTCATAGATTAGGTTTCAAAACTTGACAGATCACCTCAACTCCAAATGAGGGAATGCGCAACTGGTTTTAAAATGTTAAAACCGCAATTTTGCCAAATTGATTTTGAAGTTATAGTCTGATAAATCTAAAGATGAAGAGGGAGAAAAAAGGCAGTTGATGAATAAAGAATACCACCAGTATACCACCAGTATACCACCAGTATACCACAAAGGCCTTTACAGGTTTGGATCAGGGATTTTATTTTCACATGGTGGTGCAATGAAACTTTTTCAATTTCAGTCTCAAGATTGCTTTGTATTGCATTGCATTGCGTTGCATTGCATTGCATTGCATTGTTCAGTCTGAAGCGCATTTCAATTTAAAGCTGACAGCACTGAGATCTATGAGAGTTCAATGATTTTTTCTTGTGTTTAGTCTGAAGATTGCTTTGCATTGCATTGCATTGTTCAGTCTGAAGTGCATTTCAATTTAAAGCTGACAGCACTGAGATCTATGAGAGTTCAATGAATCTGTTTCTTCTTGTGTTCAGTCTGAAATGCATTTCAATTAAAACCCGACAGCACTGAGATCTACGAGAATTCTGTTTTTGTTTTTCAGCTTATAATGTTGTCGACTGATTAGTGTGAGGGCCCCCCCCCCAAACAATTTTAGTCTACTGAATAACAGACCATTTTTTTGCGCCCCCCCACCTTCAACAATTTTTTTGAATTGATTTCAATTTACTTTCAATTGAAATCAATTTACTTTCAATTGATTTCAATTTACTTTCAATTGATTTCAATTGATTTCAATTTACTTTCAATTTACTTTCAATTGATTTCAATTTACTTTCAATTTACTTTCAATTGCTTTCAATTTACTTTCAATTGATTCCAATTTACTTTCAATTTACTTTCAATTTACTTTCAATTGATTTCAATTTACTTTCAATTTACTTTCAATTGCTTTCAATTTACTTTCAATTGATTTCAATTTACTCTCAATTTACTTTCAACTGATTTCAATTTACTTTCAATTGATTTCAATTTACTTTCAATTTACTTTCAATTGATTTCAATTGATTTCAATTTACTTTCAATTTACTTTCAATTTACTTTCAATTGATTTCAATTTACTTTCAAGGGTTTTTGTTTTTTTTCAACCCCAAAAGTTGTTGGGCACAATAGAGTACCATCCAAACATTCATATTATTGAGTAACTCAGCCACTCATGGGGTACCACCTTGAAAAATTGTTTGGGTGCTGTTTTTTAATAAGGGTTTAATAAGGCATCTAATTATTTGGAAAACCTTGTATTTTAAACCTTTAATACAAATATGGTTTCCTAAAGTAAATGGACGGACCAGCTTTACTCAAAGAAAGGTGGAGAAAGGGTTTTGGATTTTTTCAACCCCAAAAGTTGTTGGGCACAATAGAGTACCATCCAAACATTCATATTATTGAGTAACTCAGCCACTCATGGGGTACCACCTTGAAAAATTGTCTGGATGCTGTTTTTTAATAAGGGTTTAATAAGGCATCTAATTATTTGGAAAACCTTGCATTTTAAAACTTTATCACAAATATTGCTTTCTAAAGTAAATGGACCAGCTTTACTCAAAGAAAGGTGGAGAAAGGGTTTTTGTTTTTTTTTCAACACCAAAAATTGTTGGGCACAATAGAGTACCATCCAAACATTCATATTATTGAGTAACTCAGCCACTCATGGGGTACCACCTTGAAAAATTGTCTGGATGCTTTTTTTAATAAGGGTTTAATAAGGCATCTAATTATTTGGAAAACCTTGTATTTTAAAGCTTTAATACAAATATGGCTTTCTAAAGTAAATGGACCAGCTTTACTCAAAGAAAGGTGGAGAAAGGTTTTTTTTTCAACACCAAAAGTTGTTGGGCACAATAGAGTACCATCCAAACATTCATATTATTGAGTAACTCAGCCACTCATGGGGTACCACCTTGAAAAATTGTTTGGGTGCTGTTTTTTAATAAGGGTTTAATAAGGCATCTAATTATTTGGAAAACCTTGTATTTTAAAGCTTTAATACAAATATGGTTTCCTAAAGTAAATGGACCAGCTTTACTCAAAGAAAGGTGGAGAAAGGTTTTTTTTTTCAACCCCAAAAAGTTGTTGGGCACAATAGAGTACCATCCAAACATTCATATTATTGAGTAACTCAGCCATTCATGGTTTTTTCAGACATCTAATTATTTGGAAAAGGTTGGATCTTCAAGCTTTAACACAAATATGGCTTTCTAAAGTAAATGGACCAGCTTTACTCAAAGAAAGGTGGAGAAATGGTTTTGGATTTTTTTCAACCCCAAAAGTTGTTGGGCACAATAGAGTACCATCCAAACATTCATATTATTGAGTAACTCAGCCACTCATGGGGTACCACCTTGAAAAATTGTCTGGATGCTGTTTTTTAATAAGGGTTTAATAAGGCATCTAATTATTTGGAAAACCTTGCATTTTAAAACTTTATCACAAATATTGCTTTCTAAAGTAAATGGACCAGCTTTACTCAAAGAAAGGTGGAGAAAGGGTTTTGGATTTTTTTCAACCCCAAAAGTTGCTGGGCACAATAGAGTACCATCCAAACATTCATATTATTGAGTAACTCAGCCACTCATGGGGTACCACCTTGAAAAATTGTCTGGGTGATGTTTTTTAATAAGGGTTTAATAAGGCATCTAATTATTTGGAAAACCTTGCATTTTAAAGCTTTATCACAAATATTGCTTTCTAAAGTAAATGGACCAGCTTTACTCAAAGAAAGGTGGAGAAAGGGTTTTTGTTTTTTTTTCAACCCCAAAAGTTGTTGGGCACAATAGAGTACCATCCAAACATTCATATTATTGAGTAACTCAGCCATTCATGGTTGTTTCAGACATCTAATTATTTGGAAAGGTTGGATCTTCAAGCTTTAACACAAATATTGGCTTTCTAAAGTAAATGGACCAGCTTTACTCAAAGAAAGGTGGAGAAATGGTTTTGGATTTTTTTCACCCCCAAAAGTTGTTGGGCACAATAGAGTACCATCCAAACATTCATAATTATTGAGTAACTCAGCCACTCATGGGGTACCACCTTGAAAAATTGTCTGGATGCTGTTTTTTATAAGGGTTTAATAAGGCATCTAATTATTTGGAAAACCTTGCATTTTAAAACTTTATCACAAATATTGCTTTCTAAAGTAAATGGACCAGCTTTACTCAAAGAAAGGTGGAGAAATGGTTTTTGTTTTTTTTTCAACCCCAAAAGTTGTTGGGCACAATAGAGTACCATCCAAACATTCATATTATTGAGTAACTCAGCCACTCATGGGGTACCACCTTGAAAAATTGTCTGGATGCTGTTTTTTAATAAGGGTTTAATAAGGCATCTAATTATTTGGAAAACCTTGCATTTTAAAAGCTTTATCACAAATATTGCTTTCTAAAGTAAATGGACCAGCTTTACTCAAAGAAAGGTGGAGAAAGGGTTTTTTGTTTTTTTTTCAACCCCAAAAGTTGTTGGGCACAATAGAGTACCATCCAAACATTCATATTATTGAGTAACTCAGCCACTCATGGGGTACCACCTTGAAAAATTGTCTGGATGATGTTTTTAAATAAGGGTTTCATAAGGCATCTAATTATTTGGAAAACCTTGCATTTTAAAACTTTATCACAAATATTGCTTTCTAAAGTAAATGGACCAGCTTTACTCAAAGAAAGGTGGAGAAAGGGTTTTTGTTTTTTTTTCAACACCAAAAATTGTTGGGCACAATAGAGTACCATCCAAACATTCATATTATTGAGTAACTCAGCCATTCATGGTTGTTTCAGACATCTAATTATTTGGAAAAGGTTGGATCTTCAAGCTTTAACACAAATATTGCTTTCTAAAGTAAATGGACCAGCTTTACTCAAAGAAAGGTGGAGAAATGGTTTTGGATT